GCGCGCTCCGCTCAGGCCAGCGACCGACCTCGATACGGAAGCAGCCGCCGAGCGCCGGAGAGAAGCGGCTTGTGCGCGTGCACGCAGGGCGAGCTTTCACGCGCCCGCCAACTGCTCACTGCCGCCGAGCTCGCGCCTGGCGATGAGGCGACCCGGGCCGCGCTGACCGACCCAGCTAAACGGCCGCCACAGCCGCGCGAGCCCATCGCCAGAGGTGTTGCAGTTCCAGCCGCCGACCCCCGTGCGCCTCACTTCCACCGCAGTCGCCCGCAGCTTGCGCGAAGCCAAGCGGGGGAGTGCACCCGGACTGTCCGGCGCTCGAGCTGAGCACTGCAAACTCCTCTTGGGCCATGCCGATGACCTGGAGCTGCTTACCGAAGCAGCCAATCTGCTGGCACAGGCTGCGATCTCGCGTGAAGTCGCGGAGGGGATCGCGTTGACCCGCATGACGGCGATTCGCAAGCCCGGAGGAGGTGTGCGAGGCATCGCGACGGGCGACATATTCCGTCGGCTCGTCTCGCGCTCGCTAGCTGCGGCGTGGGCGCCTGTTTTCGATCAGGCTACCAGGCCGTACCAGTTCGCGCTTCGCACTCGAGCGGGAGTGGATGCGTTGTCGGCCCGACTCCGCGCGACCTTGGATAACGACGCTCGAGCCACCGTTGTTTCCCTGGATGGGCGGAGTGCTTACGACTGTATCTCGCAACCGGCGTTTTTGCGCAAACTGTGCGAGGTGGCACCCGCGCTCGTGCCTTTCGTACGAGTTTTTTACGGCCAGACGTCGGAATACCAATGGTGGGACGCTGACGGGGTCCGCCACGGCATACGCCAGGCAGAGGGTTGCGAACAGGGCGAGCCCCTCGCCCCTGCCTTCTTCGCCCTTGACCAGCACGAGGCGTTGTGCCGGGCAGACTCGCAGCTGCAGCAGGGTGAATCGCTCATGGCCTTCCTCGATGACTTGTACGTTCTCCTGCCTGAGCCCAGTCGTGCGCGAGCGGGCCTGGATCTGGTAACAGGAGCGGTCGAGACGCATGCGGGCATGTCCGCCAACTTGGGCAAGACGCGTGTCTTCAACTACGAAGGTGGGCCGCCGCCGCCAGGGATCGCGGATCTGGGTTCCGAAGTCTGGCGCGGCAGCCGGCACCCACAGCAGCATAGCTTCGTCGCACTCGGCACCCCCATTGGCACGCCAGACTACGTCCGCGCCTGGGGCGCCGAAAGACTCGAAGCGGAAGACGCGTTGGCTCCTCCTCAGCTTTTGCGCCGCACCCCGCGCTAACCACGCGCTCCGGACCGTCCCTCCCGACTTCAATGCGCCATATGCCACCGCACATGACGCAGCCGTATGGGGCACCCTCCAGGCTTGTCTGGGCGCCACCGCGGAGGACGAGTCGTGCCCTGCCAGGGACATCGCTTTGCTCCCTGCCAGCCTGGGAGGTTTGGGACTGTCGCAAGCCCCGCGCACGAGCCCCGCGGCGTACTGGGCGGCTTGGGCCGATACCTTCACAGTGCTCCGCGAACGGTGCCCGGCCTTTACGGACTGGGCCGTCCGCTGCCTCGCTGACGCGCGTGGCCCAGCATGCCTTCGAACAGCTTCTGCGGCCCGTGGGCTGCTTGCAGCCGAAGGCTGGACGGACGTGCCTTCCTGGGAGTGCGTGGTTCAGGGAGCCCGCCCACCCGACCGACCTGACGGGATCACCAAGCCCGGTGAATGGAGGCATGGGTGGCAACACTTTGCGTCGCGTACACGGAACCTTTTCTTCCGCGACCACGTGCTGCTGCCTTCTCTGCCACCTCCTCACCGCGCGCTCTTGCGTTCCCAGGCCGGTCCGCATGCCGGTGCATGCCCGAAGCCATGCAGATCGCATTGCGTCGCAGGCTCCGGCTTCCACTCCCGCTCGCGCCAGGCCGTTGCGGGAGCGCCTCGGGGCGTGGGTGCGGCCACCGTGCAGATGCCTCTGGAGACCATGCACTCGCGTGCCCTCGTACTGGCCTCCGGCGAGGCGGGCCAAACTTGTTGAGCGGGCCTGGTGCAAGGTTGCACGGGAAGCCGTGGGGCCTGAGGGACACGTAGTGCCCCAGCAATGGCTCGTCCACACTACTGCGCCAGGCGTCGCGCCCGACGACCGCAGGCGCCTCGACCTCGTCATTTACGGCGCCGCGCCACTGGGTGGTGCGCTCTGCTGCGATGCGACCCTCGTTTCGCCTCTCACGCGCGACGGCGAACCCCACCCAGGCGCGGCCGCACAGGATGGAGCGGTTCTGCGCACCGCCTACCGGCGCAAAAAGGCCACCTACCCTAAGCTCGCGGCAGGTGGCGCGCAAGCCCTCTGCGTGCTCGGCTGCGAAGTGGGTCGGCGGTGGAACGCTGACGCAGTGAAGCTGGTCCAACGCCTCGTCGCACTCCCTGCGTACCGAGCCCCGCCGGCGTTGCGAGCATCCGCAAAGACAGCCTGGGCCCGCCGTTGGTGGAGCGTGCTTTCCGTAGCGGTTCAGCAGGCCGTCGGTCACACGGCGCTGGGGCGCGCCCGGGCCATGCCGGGACCAGCACACACCGATGCGCCGGCCCTGGATGAAGTCCTGCACCTGGCCGACCCAGACGGGCCGAGCCGCCTGCCGCTGCGCTGAACCGGCCCTAACTCGGGACCGTGACCGTACTCCACTAGGAGCGGGACCCTCCTGCTGACGGAAAAAGGCACGTAAAAAAAAAAGAAGAAAATTTGAAGGCAACGTCGCAGGTAAGCCTGGCAAAGGCCATTGTTCTGTTACGAAGCGGAAGAGTGGTGATGGCACTGTTGACTAAGCTGAGGTGGGGAAGACTCTGAAGGCACGCCCCGCGTGGGGCCCGGCCTGTGACAGCGGCAGCGCTCGAGATGCGGCATCAGTGTGAGAAAAATGCAAATCAAGCGCGCGCTGGTCACCGGTGAGGGCAGCACGATGCTGCCAGCCTCGCAGAAACTCCCCAGACTCACGTTCGTCGTGCCCGGGCCGCGAATGCAGCAGCGAGTCCCAAGCGCCGCGTGACGTGCAGCTGCGAGGGGCAGCGCGGTGTCGCTCGAGTCGCTCGAGGCCCGCAGAGCACGGACCAGACCAGCAGCCGCCAGCGCCGCACGTGCAAGCAGTTTGCCCAGGACGGAGTCCGAGACCACCATAACGCAAAGGGAGCTGCGCGAGGCGCTGCGATGGTTGAGGCAGTGGTTGTGGGGGCAGGGAATCCTGCGACAGCAGGGCCCCTACGCATGCGCACACAGCGGCGTAATGCTCGCGCGCAAGAGCCTCCGTCGCGCCATGCGGAAGCACGCGGAGCAAGTAGTTGGCACTGTTCCCGTGAACCGTTTCCTGAGTGCGGTGTGCATTACACATACTCGGACCTATCGTCCTCGAGCGTTTGAAAAAGGAGCTCCGGTTTCAATCAAAACCGTTGAGCAGCGTTTTTTGTTTCGGCGGACTCCTCGAGCGATCCACACGTGGTCGCAGCTCCGCGCCACCTCAGCCTGACGAAGTTGGAGGCCAAGCTGATCCAGAGCCGGCCGGGCAAACCATGGCAAGCTGGCCGCGCAGCTGCGGGGACCAAAAGGAGCCGAAAGCTCGGACCACCGTCCGACAAAAGCGGAACGCACTTGGGCACAGCAGTTGGGCACAGCAGCCCGCTCCAGGCCCAGCTCGCATAATGGTGAAGCCATGTTTTCCTTCGCCCCCACAGCTGCCAGGTTAAGATTACAGAAGCAATTGTGCACACGGCATTCACCCAAATGCGAGCGACCACGCGATCTAACTTTACAATCGCCCTCGCAAGGGGGCTAGTTAGTTGCCCCTGCGTGTGGAAAGCTGAACGGCGACAGCTGCAACAGCGGCAGGAGTGAGCAACTGGAAGCTCGCGCTGCTGCTAGCCGCAATCACCGTGAGCAACTTTATGTTCAACATGTTCACTCGTGTTCTGCAGTTTCTCTCGAGATTTGTATGAGGCCCCTGCCCTTAGTTGCTGGGGGTGCTTCGGGAGGAGTTGCGGGGCTCTTGCTTACCATTGCGAGGGATTTCCTTTCAGGTTCAGGGACCGTTGTTGTTCCTCCGGAGCCTGAGGTCTTTCTCCCGTCCCCTTTGGACTTACGGTCCTTTCCTCCCGAGCCCTCCTCCATCCATTGGAGCTCCTTTGCTCTGGGCCTCGGCTGTGGATTTCTTCTTTGGCCTTTTCTGGACTTGGCCTTCCTCGTCCGCCTCCTCATTGCGAGAGGGGCTCGGAGGGTCTTGCGAGTCCCAGTTACTGAGCTCTACAGGGTCCTTGAATGAGTGGCCGGCTGCTTGAGCTGCAATCTCTGAGGCGCGAGTTGTCTGAGGTGCGTGGCCTGCTGGGCCGTCTTGAGAGTCGCATTCAAGCACTTGAAGAGGAGGCCGCTTTCGAGCTTGTAGACCCCTTGCCCGGGCCCGCTGCGGGGCCCCCTTCTCCCTCCCCCGGATCAGGTGGAGGTTATCTCTCCCGGGGCTTGCCCTCTTCTCCTCAGCCTGGTTCAGGAAGAGTTTATCTCTCCCAGGCTTCTCCGCCTCCCTGCCAGCCCGGTTCAGGAGGAGGTATTCTCTCCCGGGCCCAAGCTCCTCTTGATCGGCCAGGATCAGGTGGAGCGGATCTCTCCCTGGCCTACGACCTCGCTTCCGAGGTTTTCCGGACCGATCTTCCCGTTCCGATCCGGGGCCGCCGAACTCTCAGTTTCGGACGGCAGTGGCCAAGGAGGTTGGCCTGTTCCTGCGTCGGGCACTCGACGGAGGGCATCTGCGGACGTCGGGGAGGAGCGCCCTCAGCTTGAGCTCCAAATATTACATTGTTCTGGCCGACTTTGAGGGTCGGCGTTTTGCTGACGCCTGCGTCTTCTCCGCCTTCTCGCGGGCGAAGGCCCTTTGCATTCGGGGCCCTGACAAGGGTCAGTCAATTTTTGTGGGATTGCCCAGCCAAGCAGAGTGTGCAGTGGCGTTACGAGAAGCTGGCTTGAGTTGGCCTTCTGTTGGCCTGGATGGCCAGCCAAGCAGGGTCTGAAGGAGGTGAGAGCGCTGAGGGGCGCTCTGCAGTCCAGCGTCTCCTTGAGCATTCGCTGGAGGGCCCTTCGCCGCAGATCGGCGAACTTCGGATCGAGGACGCGACAGGGCCGACCCTGTCTTGCTCCATTGTTGTGATTGCCCAGCTTGAGGGTAGTTTTCTGGTGGCCGTTCCGCAGACGGCATGGCATCGAACAGCAGGGCGACGCTACTTGCCTCGCACTGCTCTCAGCAGGACCGTGCTAGCCGAAGTGTTGGCGGCGGCAGAGGACGACCCGACTGCCACTCGCCCTGGCCTCCGACTGAAGGTCTGGTTGGGCATGCTGGACCCTGGACTCGAGGGCCAGGTGGACTACGCAGTCGAGGGCGTGCTCTCGCCGGATGTGCCGTTCTCGGGCCTTGGCTCTCGTGCTTCGGAGCGCTTGGATCCCTTCGGGCCCTCCCTGTCTGCGATCGCTGCCGAGCACTTTGCTTTCCAGACCCCCGCGGAGGAAGCTGGGATGGAGGGCGAGGCCGGTCTTCCAGAAGGGGAAGGTTCTTGGGAGCACCGCTTGACGAGCTTGGAGGCCGGTGTGCAGCGAGTACAAGCCAGCTTGGAGGCTTTACTGGATGGCGTTCCCTTGAGCTCCCCCGCGGAGCCTCCTCCAGGCGCTGGTATCGGGCCCCTCGCGTCTGGGGCTTCTGTGCCGAAAGCTGCCGGGTTGCCATTGCTGGCCGGGCTCGATCCCGTGGTCCTCGAAGCAGCCCGAAAGGCGGGCGTACCCGAGGATCAGTTGGTGAGGATGTCGCGCTTGGCTCAGAAGGGCGCCGCATCCGGGGCAAAGGCCAAAGCCAAGGCGAAGCTGCCGCTAGCGCGGGAAGACCCTTTGGACGAGTCCGAGGACGAGGCCGAGTTGCTCCCGGTTGGAGGCGCTGGAAGCCTCGCTTCGGGGCGCGATCCAGTCCACTTGGCGGTGGTTCAAATTGGCCAGGTCCTCAAGCTTATGCAGAAGGACCGGGAACGGAAGAACGACCTCGAGGACATCTTGGAGAGGGCCGAGGGAGGCAGCGCGGATGCAGCAGGCGGGAGCAGCTCAAGTGGTCGTTCGAAGACCGCCGCCTACCAGAAGCTTCGTGGCATCCTTCGCTCAGCGCCAGAGCAGATCTCGGCCTCTATAGAGGGTCTGATGATGGACGACTTTGTTGGGGCCCAGACCGGACCTCACCAGGAGGAGAGACGGTTGTCAGTGCGAGGATGGGTCGAACACCGGAGCCATCTGCAATCGTACGCCGGACCTATCCGGCAAGCCTGGACCCTCGCTTCGATCATCGATCTGCTGAACAGTGGGAACCCCGAACAAGCGAAAGCGGTTGCACTCTTGTCGGTTGCTGCTTTAGACCAAGCAGCTATAGACAATGGAAACTGGCTTCTCTCGAGCGAGTTCTCGATGGATATGCAGCCGCCTTTCTCAAGCTTTCAGCGGCCCCGACAGCTCGATCCTCTCGAGTCTCGACAGACTCGTGTGATCGACCCAAGGTGGATTTCGCTCTTCATGGCCCGCATTCGCGAGCGCGAGGCTTATCATACAGCCAAGCGCAGTCTCGGAGGCGGGGGAGGAGGAGGTCAGCCGCCGCCATCGTCAGAAGCTACGCCGCCCGAGGTTCCTCCCAAGAAGCCGCCGAAGGGCGGAGGGAGGGGCGGAAAAGGCAAGGAGAAGGAAGGCGCGAAGTGATTTGGCAGCCGTGCTTGGGTCTTGCCTCCGAAGGCAATCCGACCCCTCTGGGATCGAGGTCGCAGCATGTCCTTCCGCCTCTCGGCGCTTCTTCTTGGAAGCCACGGCTTCGGCACCACGATAGTACAGTTTGGTCTCGCCGGTCAACTTGCGGCACAGCTTGGGCGCCGACGCTCTTCTGCTTGCCCTTTGGTCGTCCTTTTGCCGCTCCCTCCCCTGGTGAGGTTGAGCCCGATTCCCCTAGGGGTCATAGGTCTGGTTTAGGCCCGCCCCCGATTAGCTTCGGTTCCTTTTTAAGTACAGTAGGCCGCTGCGAGCAGGCTCTCCCGTGTGAGCCGCCCTTTGAGCCCCAATCCTCTGGTTCCTTTGATCCCAGCTTGCCTTCGAGTTCCTGTGATGTTCACTCTTTGAGTCTCCCTTCTGCGCCAAACTATGAAGGCTGCGAGGCGAGCTCAGAACTCGAAGTCAGTTGCAATCCCCTCGCCCCGGTACCTCCTGTGCCTCTCGGGCTTTCTTCTTCAGCGCCGCCTAAGGCCGACGTGCATGCTTCCCATCCTGGTCCGGAGACAACCTCTCCGGGCGTGAATCCTTCGGAGCTTTGGGATACGTTTTTCGACTGCGTGAGCAAGTCCTCCTGCAAGCTTTCTTCTTTCTTTCATTCCATCCGGCTTCGACCTCGCGCTGAGCGAGGGCCACCTTGCACCTCCGGTGCTACGAGAGGGCGTGGAGTGTGGCCCATCCCTCTTCCTTACCCCGAGCTTCACGCTCCGCGATCCGGCGGCAGAAGGGATCCAGAGCAGCTCGGCGTCAACGCAGTTGTGTTGGTTCTGAACTTTCTGTTCTTGGGCGAGCCCGCCTCGCCGGCTCGCCATTTGCGCCTAGGGCTGGGAGAGCAGCTCAATGAGGCTCAGCTCAGGGCTGTGGAGTCTTTGAGCATTGGTGTGTCAGCGTGGAATGCGGCGGGGCCTTTTGCCCCCTCCGATCTTGGACGAGCTGCGAAATTTGAGGCCCTCAATGACATGTTGTTGGCGTGCCAGGGTGAAGCTGCTCAGGTTCGGTCTTCCCATGGCCTCCTGTCGGAGGTTCTCTTCAGCTTTGCAGCTCCGTGCAACGTGCTGCCTGTTGAGCCTTCGAGGCTTAACTTTGTCGGCACTCCCAGCTTCGATCCGCTCCTTTTTTCTGGACTCGCGGAACCGAGCTACTTATGTCCGGCCTCTGGATTTTGCCAGGGACATCCCCGAGGACGAGAGCCTCCGTGCGAGCGGACAAGAGGCAAACAGCACAGCTTTTGCAACTTCTGGATGACAGCGGACGTCTCCGCCTCTTCGCCGATTCTGAGATCCGGCCTAGGTTGCGGAACGGTTTGTTCAGTGTTGCTAAGGATAGCTCCCGCGATCGCATGGTTTTAGATGCCAGACCCCCTAATCAAGCAGAGGAGACCGAAGCACGATGGATCCGTTCTTTAGGGACCCTCGAGCAATTCCAGTTCATCTACTTGCCGGAGGATTCCAATATTGAAATCCACACGGAAGATTTGAAGGAATTTTATCATAGCTTCATTGTCGGGGAGCAGCGGGCCATGCGGAACGCGCTCGCTCTAGAGCTGACCTTTGAAGACGTGTCCCACCTCAGGGCGTGCTCCCGATCGCTCCGCGGGTGCAAGATCATCCCCAGCTTGAACACCATGGCTATGGGGGACCTTAATGCAGTGCTTGTCGGTCCTCCTGCGAAGCGGTGTGCTTAAGCTCAGCGATTTTATCACGCTCCAGGGCCGGCCAGGAAGGCCCGGATCCCAGGTCGCCGGCTTGCTTATAGATGATTTCATTTTGCTTGACCCAGTCCCGCGATGCCTGCCAAGCCCGAGCTTCAGGCCTGCTGGCTTGCAAACTATGCAGGCGGTGATTGAGTCATACCAGGTCAACGGGCTGCCTCGCAACGAAAGCAAGGGCGTCTCTCGAGCATCGACTGCCGAGTTCTGGGGTGGCCAGCTTGATGGCAACAGCGGGATTCTACGTCCTGGACCGAAGCGAACATCGGCCCTTGCACAGTTCATTCTTCAGGTTGTTCGGGGAGGGGTCACTTCAGTCGGGATGCTGGAAGTGATCGCAGGCGGCCTGATCTCGAGCTTGCAGCTTCGCCGGCGCCTCCTGAGCCTTCTCGACAACATCTACAGCGTGCAGCGCCATCGCGACCGACGGTCTTTTGTGCCTGTCGAAGGCGATCTTTGCTCTGAGTTGCTTGTGAGCTCCGTGCTCCTATGCCAGGTCGATGTGGACCTGAGGGCGCCAGCTGCACCCGTGCTCCTGAGCACCGATGCCTCTTCCTCTGCGGAGGCTAGCGCCGCGGTCGGGGTACCGCCTCAGTTCTCCCTCGAGATGACTCGGCACGGTTTGCAACGCGGCCTTTGGGCTCGACTTCTCTCCCCGGCACAAGCCTACCTTCGAGAACGGGGCGAGTTGCCAGAACGCCAAGAGCTCCCTGAGGAGGTGTATGTGTCGCATCCCCTCTGGGAGGAGATCTGCTCCGCTTTGCAGTTTTACCAGCTCGGCCGGACCGTGAAGGTCAAAGCTCGCCGACACATCAACATTGGAGAAGTCCGGGCTGCGATCCGAGGGGAGGAGAAGGTTGGCCAACTCTTCCCGGGGTGCAGATATGTCCACCTTCAGGATAGTCAGGTTAGCTTAGGGTCTTTTGTGAAAGGGAGGGCTGCCTCGCCGGCGCTCAACAGGGAGCTTCGGAGGTCGATTCCGGGGCATCTGGCAAGTCGCGTCCGGCCAGCTTACGGCTACATCCAATCTAAACTGAACCCTAGTGACGACCCGACTCGTTCGGCCCCTCTTAGGTGCCCTAGCAAAGACCCTCCAACTTGGTTGAGCGCTGCCCTTGAGGGAAGCTTCGACCTTCTTGATGACTTTCTGTGGCAACATGAGCTGCATCCTAGGCAGCTCGCCGGCTTGCCTCCTGAAAGCGAACTGTGGGCTGACGCCCCTTTAGGCGACATCCCCAGCCCTGCTGCCGATCGTGTCCGAGCCTCCCACGGGCCCGAGCAAAGAGCCTTGAGCATTCTTCGCCGCTCTCACGTCGGAGCCGTCGAAGCTTTTGAAATCTTTCGGCGCCTGCCTAAGGAGCTCTCAGCCAGGTCGACTAGGTGGAGCAAGGCCGAAGCCTCTTTCTCGGCCGGAGTCTTTGTGCATGGAGGTGTGGTTGGGCTCCGGAAAGCCACGAGCCTCTTCCCGAACTCGATTCAGGTTTTCACGAGGCTTATTCGCGAGGCCAGGCCGGGTTTCATTTTCAGCTCCTTGAGTGTCAATCAGAATGTTCGGACTTTGCCTCACATCGACAGGAACAATCTGTCGGGAGAGCCCAACCTCGTTATCCCCCTATCTCGGTTCAGGTCGGGGGGAATTTGGGTTCTTGCTGATCGTGGGCCCGAGCGGCTCCGTCACAAGGGCAAGGTTTACTATGGAGAGATTCTCCCGGTTAGTGAGCACGCTGTCAGCTTCGATCCTCGCCGTCTGCATGCCACGCAATCTTGGACAGGGACTAGGGTTGTTCTGATCGGGTTCACCATTAGGGGCTGCGAGAAGCTTTCGAGCTCCCAGCGCGCAGAAGCCTCAGAGCTTGGCTTCGTCTTGCCTCCCGAGCCGCATGCCACGCCTCCTGATTTCCCGAACTCTGTTGGATTTCCTAAGCCGCTGCCCAGCATCCGAGCTCCAGGTGACAGCAGTCCCTCCAATCAGCCTACGAGAGTCGAGCCTCCAAGCTTTCTTGGCGCTTGTGCTGAGCCGTTCGCCGCTCCGCTCGGCCTCGAAGGTGCCCCTCTAGGCTCACCTGGATTTGAGCTTTCTCCCGAGCTCCGGGGTGTCTTGCTCTCGATGCCACTCGGCCGCTTCATCATTTCCTCGGCCTTCGGAGACCTTGCCTCTGCCCTCTCCTCAGCCCCGGGATGGCTTGATCTTTTTTCAGGGTCTCGGGGTTTTGCTAGGGCTCTTGCTGCTGCTGCTCCCTGCTGGGTTTTGTGCCTCGATGTCTGCCATGGCTTGGACGAAGATCTGCTGCGGTCTGACCTGCAAGAGGAGCTGCTGGGGCTCATTCGGGGCCGAGCGTTTCAAGGAGTCAGGGCAGGACCCGTCTGCAGCTCTTTCTCTGGAGCGATCACCCCTAGCTGGCGGACTAAGGAGTTTCCTCAAGGGCGGCCCGATCTCAGGAGTGATCAGCTAGACAAGGTCCTGGCTGGGAACCTGATGCTGGAGTTTACCTTGCGGGTCCTTCAGGCCGCGTCTGAAGTCAGCATCGTTTTCTGGGTTGAGAATCCTCAGAACAGCTGGTTCTGGAAGCAGCGAGCCTGGGACTCCCTGAGGAAGTCAGTTTATTGGGACGACTTTCTCTGTGATATGTGCAACTTTGGGACTAAGTGGAGGAAGGCGACCCGTTTCCGGACTAACGGGCAACTTGGCGGAGCTCGGATGCGCTGCGCCAAGGACCACGTCCACCAGGTTCTGCGAGGGAGAGATCGCTCTTCTGGAGTTAGCTGGACCAAGCTCGCCGAAGCTTACCCCAGGAGACTTTGCCTCCTTCTCGCAGCAGCTTGTGCCCAAGATGCGGGATGGGCCGGCGACTACCGAGCTCTCGACATCTCGCGTTGTGCAAAGTGCAGCAATGCTAGGATCGGCGAGGCTGCGAATCCCGGACCCCGGAAGGCAGTCCGACAGCGGCCTTCTGTCCAGCTCCGAAACGTCGCCACTGTGACCAAAACTACGGCTGCCCTACGGTCTGGCATTTGGACTGCTTTTAAGACTTGGATCTCCGCCGAGGCAGGCGATGATTTGTGGAGCACTCTTCTCCTCTATCCCGACCTCCTCGTCGAGGCCCTGCTAGCGTATGGCCAAGCTCTTTACGATCGAGGTGCGTCTCTGCAGGAATACCGGCAGCTTCTTACTCACTGTCAACATGTGGTGCCTCGGATTCGAGCTGGTCTCAAACCTGCGTGGGACCTACTGACGAAGTGGGAGCGATTAGAGCCTACGGTCCACAGGACACCTATGCCAGAACCTATACTTTGGGCTATGATTGGGCTCAGCGTGTCTTGGGGCTGGCACCGATGGGCTGCTGTAACTTTTCTCTGCTTTCTAGGTTGTTGCCGAATAGGGGAGCTTTTAGGTGCTTCTAGGGCTGACCTCTTGACGCCTTCCGACTTGCTGCAGAATGACTATCGCTACTACATCGTCTTCAAGGAGCCGAAGTCTCGTGGGCGCGGAGCTCGCGTGCAGCACGTCGCCATCGACCTCGAGGAGCATTTTGCTCTTTTCATCGACCGGGTCCTCGGTGGGCTCCCTCGGCGAGAGCTTCTTTTCCCTGGGAGTGCCGGGGTGTACCGGCGTCGGTGGGACAGCGTCTTAGCAGCTCTGGATATTCCTCCAAAGTTCAAGCTCACACCTGGCTGCCTGCGTGGTGGCGGGGCTGTGGCAGCCTATCGCCGTAAGCAGCCTATTGCTGATATTCAGTGGACGATGAGGCTGCAGAATCAGACGACTCTGGCTTATTATCTGCAAGAAGTTTCCGCTGAGTCTGTCCTGCCTAAACTTTCAGCTGACGCGAGGAAGAACATCGTCGCAACTTCTGCTCTGCTTCCGTTCCTTCTCCGTGGTTCCCCAGCGCACTAGCTGCTACGCCCTTTGGGCTGTCTCTCAGCTGTTGGCCGGCCTTGGTGGATGGAGTCTTTGCTGCATAGCAGCTTTTACGGTGCAATGGCACCTGAGATTCCACTTTTGCCGAGCCGGATGGAAAACGGTGCGGCACGGAAGCAGTCGCGGGTTAACATGTTTTTTTCAAGCGCACCTGTGATGGCGGCCACGGTCGGGATTTGCCTTCTGGACACCAACAGCTCCGCATAACCAGGCGCGCGGGGCAAACGCTCGGACGTATTCCTCACCACTCATTCTTTCCGTTGGCTGGGACCCGAGAGGCCACACCGGTCACATGCATGTGGTCATGCGTTTCATGACCTGGTTCGTATACATGTACAACACTGAAGCATATACTCAAGCCACAACTATTTTTCACGAGCACGCTTCGTAAACGCCCGCACAATGCCGAACACGACGGGTCGGCAGAACACGGGGAGGAGTTCCGGATAGGTTTCCAGTTTTTCCGTCGCTCGGCCTGGGTGAGCGAGAACTTCGCGGAAAATCAGCCAAGCTGACATGCGTCGCTGATTGGAACGTCGATGTTCATGTCGACGACGCGGACATTGCGACATGGGCGACACGATGTGGCGCAGGTCGTGTGGTGGTTTTCGATCGCATCAAGGCTGCGGCGGCAGCTGGGGGTCTGCGGTCCTTAGGAAGACGCAAGCGGCGAAAGCTGGAGAACTCGGGACAGAGGACCGGAGATGACGAAGTCCTGGTGTGCGACGGCCTTCCCCTCGCATGGGGATGCACAGGGCGCAAATCGCCGTCGATCCTCACCCTCGCCAACCACCTGCGACGGTCAACCGGGTTGGGCCGTTCGCAAGGCAGCGAGGCACAAACGGAGGCGAAATTATCCCGAGTTCGACGGCAGCCGTCGATGTCGGGGATCGTTGGATGCACCGCTTTCATTCGTTTGCTAGCCCGAACGTGGGCCTCCAACGTGCCTGTCGCGGTGCGTGCCTCTGCCCAGACCGCGTGGGTGCACCGGCCGTGTGGCCTAATTTCGGTCGCGGCCGACACTGTATGCGCTATGCAATGCTTTGCATTCCGAGCAGAGACGCTCCTGCTGGCCCACCTCCAGCTCTGCATGAGCTCCTGGCCGATGCCCGCTGGCAGGCGGCACCGGTGCCAACCGCTTCTGTTGCCAGGAGGATGGCACTTGAGCAGGCTGTCTCCATGCAGTTATAAACAAGGCGTGAACAAATCAACGCCGCTGGGTGGTCGTCGGGCGGGTGCTGTAAGGATTCACACAAGGCTGCTGCCTTGAAGCGAAAGCGAAAGCGGTAGCTCGCACTCGGCATGCCACGCTGCTCGAAGGAGAACAGACAGTCAAACAGCTTGCACATCGTTACAATGTGACCTGCTGTGGATGTATGTTTCAGCATGTTTCAGCCATTCTACATCAGATGCAGCGTCGCGGCTTGTCGGTTCATGGATTGCAGCATGGACGGACAGACAGTCTACATGATCCAATAGTCGGAGTTCTTTTTTAGAATAGTTTTTGTATCCGTAGCTGTTTAGATGAGCACGACATCGTTGGATTGTGTTGGAGTATTCGTTCCGGAAACATGCCCGTTCCCAAAGTGGATCCGGCAGTGCTGCACTTGGAGCATGAATTGCGCAAAGAGCTTTCTGCGACATGTCCGGATGTAAATCCATGGCATGCCAGAGAGAGGAAACGAGACGGCGAGTCCAGGGGGTAGAACAAGGCAGCCAGGAACCAAACAGCGAGACGAAGGGAACAGATACTGCCGTTCCGCAAAACGGAACCAGAGGGAACAAGTTTCGAGAGAGGCGCACTTATGTTTCGCAGGCCAAGATGCTGGCTGATGTTTCCTTGAGTGGTCTTGCAAGAGACGGAGTTGTGCTCAGGAAGCGTTGGAGATGCGTTTGTCACCAATCTTGGCACGCTTGAATGCCTTGGAAGCGCACCTTGTGCAAAGCACGGAAGAGGATGGACTCTTGGCCAGCAGCCGAGGGACTGGCAGAGCCACAGTCCCGACTCGAAGTAATTTCGATGAAGCGGTGCGTGTGCAGGCCAGGGTGTGGCTTCCTCCAGGGCCCTTGTTTGGTGAAACTTAGACGTTTGGGATCTGCAGAGCATGATGTGCTTTCCTTGGCATGGTGATCATACTGCGCATCCGGAGTGTAAGGTTTGGGATGTGAAGGGAAGCATGCATAGGTTTGATTACGGCAAGCTGCCAGCAGGCAAAAGATTTGGACATGGAATCGGTTCTCCTACCACCTGTGCATGAATCGTCGCCATCTCAGGTTGGGGGTCATGATGCTCACGCGACATGTGTTTTAGGTTGAAGTTTCGCGATCCATGACCGTTGACTCCGTTGACTGATTTGAGCTGCATGGAGGACCCATGTGAACGCGTACATGTTGGGGAAACAGTGTGGAACTTTGTTCTTGTGATTGGCTTGTTGGACTGCGGCACCATGGACACGTTGATCGCTTTTGCCCTCATGGTCGGAAATGCGATGATGCAGGCCCTCTTCTGCATTGCCATCATGTCACCTGAATTTCGGGGCACTGCCTTTGCCTCGCAGCTCGCTGTTGCGAAGAAGTGGCGCTTGGGTGTAGGCCACGACTCGACTTACATGGACAGCACACCTACCAGCCTTGTTGCCCGGGTATGCGGAAGTGATGAAACACTGATTGTGGCAAACTCACAAGCGACTTTGGTACGTGACATCACCGCCTATTTGGGCTTTGACAATGCAGACGGGAGCTCTTGGTTTTCACCAGGAGCTCTCCTGAGCACCCTGTGCATTCTACACTGGTGTCTGTACATCTTTGAAGAGATTCGGAGCATTTGCTCGACAATCCTAGCAATTTCCAACGTGCCACAGGATCAGGAAAGCGAGATGCGAGGGGGCCGCTTGATACGCATCTCGTACTTCCGCCTTCTGTCATACTTTGTGCTGACGGTGATCCGATCGTGCATCGCTGCCGTGTTGCTCTATGCAGGCAGACGCATCTGTAGCAGCATGTGCACTCCAAGGTCTTCTCCATGCTGGTCCGTTAGCTCCCCCTTTGCCCCAGCAGGTGTGTTCTTTCCCTGTCCGAATTTGAGCTGGCCTGTGCAGGCGTTCTATGGTTGGCAGGGACAACCTCGATTGCTTCGTTGATGGTGAACAGCGTGGCGCTGGCGGCAATAATGGATATCGACGAGAAGATTTTCGCAGCGCTCATGCCCCGACAAATTCAAGTAGAAATGGATGGCTTGCAACCTTTCACTGCGACCTACAGTCGCAGATCCAGCCAAGTGGAATCCATGCTCTTAACCACAGTGACCGCAGGCGGCATGTTGACGTGTTTGTGGGGTGTTCGTTTGTGGCTGGTATCATAAGGTTTGAAGACTTTTTATGACTTTGGAAGCGTCCCGCACAACTTGAGCCGAACCCGAAAAGCAGGTCTGCTAGCATGGTCATTCGTGTTCCTTATCCACCCGCTGAGTCAAGATATGCGAGATGTGAAGGATGAGTATTGCGGTGGTAACCAAGACTTCGTCCTCAAAAGCAACGCAGATGTTCAACTGTCAGTTGCCATTGGAACAGTTCCTTATGGAGAAGGAGGCGGGGGTCTGACGCTCAATAATTTGGCTGTGGATGAAATGCTGCAAAAGAACCATGAGAACGGCTTTCTGAAATACACTGTCCTTGCCCACACCCTCCGCGATTTCGACCGGTGGTCTACAGGGACAATCAGTCAGTGGGGCATTGCTATACTTCATGGCTGCACGCAGTGGGAGAACAGCAGCTTCCTCGTGGCTGTTGCAGTCTCTCTCGGCTATGAACCGAAATCAGGCTCAGCTTGCGAAGACTAGATATGTTGTCCGCGTCGTGTCTTGCATTCTCAGCCGCGCGCTTGCAAACGACTCGTAGCTTTGTCTTGCCTGTCTGACGTTGCGGCCTGAAGCATGCTGTTCTGGAACGGAGGCTATGCGTGCAACGACTTTGTGAGCGCTTGCCTGCGCCCAGAAGCCCGGCTGCTGCGGATGCTGTGCCCGAAAACTTGTGGCTGCAACGATCCCAGCCTTCCCTGGTTCCGGGTGTCCACGTTAGGCAGGCTCTCCCATGCGAAAGTCGGTTGGATGTAGGCAATGTACATCAATGCACCACAGCATGCATGATGCCTACTGGTGCGCTAGTCTCTGTGTGCCTGAGGCTGTCCACAACCTTGCCTGGATGACGCGAAGAAGGCATCTGCTAAGGTGCCGTGCAAAGACACGGCTGTTGACTCAGCATGGCATCAAGCCTGGTCGTCATGGCCACAGATATGGTTGACGCAGTTCAACGGCAATCCGAACACTCATGCCGGACAAGATCGTTTAGCCTTACTGAACAACATTTCACGGCGAGCCCGTGAGAATGGATGCAGTGCCGTCTCAAACCTGGGCTTGCCGAAAGGAGTACCGTTCAATGGAGATTCTGTTTGCCAGGGCTGGAACATGCTCATCTCTTCCGTGGCAAATCTCTGTCCTGAAACGTGTGAATGCACGAAGCCTGAGTATGCTGCAGACCCGCTGCGTGGCTGCCCACGCAGCTGCGAAAGCCTTGCCTTGAAAAAACCAGCCATGTGGCAAATCTTGCTGGCTAGTCACGCCTTGCAGAATGTTGCCGTAGAGCTCACTCATCCAGGAGCAGGTACGTGAGTAATTCTTCGGGCTTGAGATTTTTTTGATCTCGCACATGCAGTGGCATAATTTGCAAGAAAGGAAGAACCCTACCCGTAGCCGTAGCGGGTGTGTTGGAATGGTCGGCGATCCAATTGGTGGTAGCGCTCGTGGACTCCGGTGGAGACAGTCTGGCTGTGGCTCGCTCATGTCTGCTCTCTCTCATCTCCTCCCATTTCTTATGTCTCTCTTGTGATGTAAGTCTGCCTGCAGTGGGCAGGACATGTGGAAGCACGGACTGATTGGCGGCGGGATCCACTCTTTCCTCTCTCTCGGTTGAAGGCATGTGCAGCAGGTCCTGCCAAAATTTGTGCTTACAGGCGAGCGCTGGCAAGCTTTTCATCATCAAGCGGACATGTGTGCACGATGAGCGTAGTAGCCTTCCAAATAGGGAATGAGAATGATTTCCTTCTGTTTCGGATTATCATCTGAAGCGGCATCTTCCGACGCCGATTAAGCAAGTGAAGCCATGGCAATCACCGCTGCCAAGCGAAGGCAGCTGAGTGAGGAGCTTATTGAGCGAGCTGCAGCCGGTCGGCACCAGGATGTTGCAAAGCTCCTGGAAGAAGGGGCAGATACCGAGTTCGCAGACCGGAATGGTTACACGGCGGTCTCCGAGGCTGCCATGTCTGGCCAGACAGTGGTGCTGGGCCAGCTGCTGCGAGCCGGGGCGGACCCAAACAAGCCGGCAAAGGACGGCCGAACGCCGCTCCATCGAGCGGCATTCCATGGCTGGATGCCGGCTTTGAAGCTTTTGCTGGAGAACGGCGCCGATCCTTCCTTGGCAGACAGCGATGGGAAGACCCCCGTAGAGGTGTCGAAGAAAGTGGCAGTGCAAGAACTGTTTGCTAGCTTCAGCGACGAGCAAATTCAGGAAGCCATTCGTGCCCAGAAGGAGAAGATGGCCCAACGTCCGCGCTATGATGACGAGACCTCAGCGAGCGAGCCAGCGCAGGCACCTGAGGTTGCCGAAGTCCCGAAGAAGACACGCACACCCAAGACAATTTACTACAAGGACAAGGCACCGAACAACCAAGCCGACACAGGCAGCACTGACCAGAGTGCCACAGAAGATCAGAAGCAGTTTCTCGAACTCCATCCTACATTGGACATCGTTGCCCAGCCTGATGGGTATGCAGCTCGTTCTGGAAACGTCGGAGGCTACAAGGATGATGTTCGGGTGCAGGGCGGAAGCCTAATTGTTGAAACCTCTGAGGGCCTCTTTGCAAGCGAGGAGGTCGGGCAGAAGGCTGAGAGCCCCGAGCATCAGGCCGCTCTTTGGTTACAGAACGTGGGTGACGTCGACGTGCAGTTGGACATGCAGGCCATCCAGGCCGCGAAGGTGAAAGCACAGGAGCATTTCAACCAAGGCAGCGTCAGCGACGCTCGGCGAGTCACTACGGCGGCAATCCGTGCCGGCGAGCTCCTCCTCGCGAGGGACTCAACACTCGAGGAGAAGGCCAATGAAGATTTGCAATCCTTGCTTGGCATCCTGCGTTCCAACCGCAGCCTCTTGCTGACACACCAAATTCAGGCAGGAGACGAGGAGGTCCTGCAGTTCGGCCCCGATGCTGCTTGGAGCTTGGTGGTCAAGGACACGGATGCGGCATTGATGGATAATCCCTCCAACTTCAAAGCTAGCTTTCGGCGAGCACGTGCTTTGTTTGAGCTGGGAGAGCTGGATCAGGCGATGGCTGATGCCACACGTGTGGTGGACCATTATGCTCGCAATACGCAGGTCTCCAATCCGGAGGCAGTTGCACTGCGGCAGAGCATCATGGATGCTTTGAAGAAGGAGCGTGCAAAGTGGGGCGACAAGGGAGGGCCACGCTGGAACCGGCTTGTGAACGACAGTGGGGCATTGATCTCGGAGGTGTCATAGGTCTCGAAAGTTGACAGTTTCACGCCCTCTCCAACGTATGAACGTTCTGATGTTTTTGGCAACCGCCAAGTCGTGCATTCATGTCAGATCCTAAAGTGCTTCGAGAAGAGGGTTTCACAGCCGTCCGTGGCTGGAATGCCATTTCTGCACGTGAATCAGGGGCTAATCAGCCTCGAAAGTTTGATCGTCACTTGCCGGCTTCATTCAGCCGGTGCATGCAACATAGACCCAAGTCCGTGGAAGGCTTCGGCTTCGGAACAGCAGCATGCTGCAGTCTGATTTCAGCTTGCATGCCATGGAGGCGTTTCCACCTGCATTGGTACACTTCGAGGACCTCGTGTCGTTCAAGTATTTGGTGATGCCAGATTAACGTAGTGGGCCTGTACATGCGTTGATAGCAGCCAAAGCCACCCAGCGTCAAAAGCTTGTGCTAGCCATCATCAGTGACCATTCAAGCAGCTAGCTAGTTGAGCCAGCAATTCCACATCGAATTTTGAGATACTTCGGACCCAGCGATGGAGCATGGCCGGGTCACAACTATTCAACCGTGCGCAGCGCTGAGTAATGCAAAGAGTGAGCACTGTCGTTCTTGAAATCGCGCACGCCTCAGGTAGCGATTCCTCTTGATGACCCGCTTTGCAAGGGCACTGCGCTCGGTGCGTGTCGCCAGGGCAAGGGAGGGAGCCCAGTGCCTTTGGAACCGTGGATGCTGGGCTCAAGCTCTGAGGTGTGGAGCCTGCGAAGCCCTTGAATCTGACAGCCAATCCGAAGGCGCAGGAACTCGGACTTCCATCACCGCTCTGCATGGTGAGATACTGGTAGGGTGTCGAGACAGGAGAGCAGAAATGGAGTTGAGACTGCGACGAGGCCCGTGAGGGCAAGAGATGGACTCGAGCATCAAGACTGTGCTTTGCTCATCTCAACAGGCAAGCCAAGCTGCTGGGCAATGAAAGAAGGACAACTCACTTCAGGCTGTTTGAAAAGGCTTTTGTTTCCGTTTGTGGATCTTAGCTTCCGAGCTCGGATGTGCAGGATATCCATCCTCTCGATTACAGTTTCCGGTGCGCGAGACGCCGGCTCCTGAGATTCCAGACCACCGGCCAGCATTCTCGGCTACCTACTGTAGTCATATCCGAGGCCTGCAACGGCAGCTACAAGTTCGATGGGCTTCACCAAGGGAAGCCACTCTTTAAGTCTGACACCGGGGCCATCATCTACTTTCAGCGGTTCAGGGCTCAGTGTGCAAACTCCGGAAAGTCTGCAAGATGCTCGTGTCTGTGGCGTGGGAGGTTCTGGAAGATGAACGCGGCCTACAGGACGAGCTCTTGGATGTGGCTTGGTCTTTCTTTGGAAATGCCATGATGCTGTGTGCAGCGTTTTGCTCGAGAGAAGGTACAGCCTTCCTGACAGCCGGACGGCGCTGCCGCCAGAAGGCGAGTGGACGCGCGAAGGGTCGCTTAGCTGCAGCGGCGATACGTGAGTGTGCATCAGCCACCGAGAGTGAAGCAGATTTGAGGTCGGTGGAGATGACCTCGGGATCCGCCAAAACCTTGGCAGGGCCGTGTGACGAAGCAGTCAAGGTCTGTGTGAGTCGGAGGCACCGACGGTAGCCCTTGTGGACGAGTGTTTCAAAAGCCTCGGAGAGCAAGGTGCAGCCGCAGTGTAGCTTGCTTGGCGGGAGAGTTTGGGCTGGGATATGTGCCGAATCAGATGGACTTGCAGAGCGCGAGGCAGCTGCTTGAGACTAGAAGGAGGTCGCACAGCAAGGGCCACGGCAACATCGTGTGAGTGAGACGGCCGTTACAGAGTGCTTGCGCAGATTGGATTGCTTGCGGCTAAGGTGCTTAAGCGTGAGGAGAACAAGAGCTGGCGCTGGAAGCCGGGATGAAGCATAATGAAAGCAGAGTAGCATGTGCAACCATGATATAGGGCTTGAATGGCTTGAGTATGTCTGCTTTACAGTTGGGGTCGCTCCTGACCCGTGATGCTCGAGCTACAAGGATCGAGCTTCCTGTCTACGAGCAACTCCCCGGCACACCTCCGGCGGCAGAGAAAGAAGTCGCAGAGGCCGAGCGACATCCTAAATCAGAGTAAAACGAAATCCTGCCCCCGACTTGAGTTTTGCAATCTTAAGGCCCTTCGAAGGTTCCTACCCCTTTGCTGACAAACCTCGATGTCCCGAGAGTGGGCGAGGAGGAAGTCCATGTGACATGGCCTGGGCCAGGGGCAAGTTCCGCAAGTAGCTCTTCCCTCTTTGGAGGATCTTTGTGCGGTGAGCCCAGCCAACGCTGTTCCGGGCGGTCTCGGAATGCGTCGCGAGAGAATGAAGGCGAAGCTGGATGCCGAAGAGACCGCAGACCGGCTGCCTGCAACTGAGATCCGATCCGCGCAGTTTTTCTCTCGGCTCTTGCAACGCCAAGGAACTTCAGCTTGCTTGGGCACATCGACGAAGACGAAGACGAGGAACAGCCTTCCTCACTCCCGTCGAGCGGGTACTTCAGCCCCGACCTCGCATGCTCTTGGCAAAGAAGGGAGCCGCCGGGGCTAGGCGGCTCGCCACCGCCAGCCACTCTCATGTTCCCGTTTCGCCCTCCGCCTTGAGGCTCAGACATGATCCGGCACATGGGCCAAGGAAGGGGAGAGTTGTCGATAAGTGGAAACGGGGGCTCCTGTGTGGATGCTGTCTTCGACAGTCGCGGCGCGCAGGCATGCTCGCGCAGATGGCGCGAGATCCGAGAAGCAACTTGGCCGCACCGAGCGCCGAGCGCTGGCCTGGCCGCCTGGCCTCAGCATGTCAGCTTTCTGACGGAGGCGAGCCTTGCAGCACCAGGTGCGTTGCGAAGGGTTGGTGCTGATGGGCTGATGATCTTGAGAGTGAGAGCTCGAGAACTGCCAGTCCGGAAGCTGCGGACGAGCCGCCGTGGCCGCTCGAACAGCCTCGAGTCGGCATGGCCGCACGATTGATGAAGTCCGACGTCCGCGGCTGAGCTCTGCATGCTCTGCCTTGTGCCGCTTGCATCCGCAAGAGGAGGCCAGGCACGTGACAGCTGCCATGCTGCAGTGCAAGGCTGCCACGCTGCTGCACTCGTCTCCCCTCGTCTCCCGAGGCCGAGTCTCAGCGAGGCGATGCGGGAAACCTCCTGCGCGTGCAGCGCTCAGTTCTGGTCCAGAGAATCCCGAGCCGAGCGAGCCGAGAGCTCCCGTGCGGGCATCCACGACTCC